TGATCAAATCTATACAAAGTCGATCAAAATGCACTGGAATTCCAGAAAGATTCTTGTAGACGTTATTGTTACCTGGTTGATTGGTGCATCTGACGAATCTGCCTGTTCTGTACCTAAAGACGTTCAAAATCCTTTACAGACTGAACTGCATAGAACCGTTTTCACATTCGCTACACAAGCCAGTTTTAACTCCTATATATCCATACTTCTTCTTACCGCAACTCCAATCTTTCGTGTTTCCTTATCATTGTTAGAAAGGTAACAACGCCAACGGCGTGCATGTTTACTTGCCTCACTGATTTCACGTTCCACAATCTGTACATTGTTTCACCTGAATTTTATGCCCAATATCCGCAGTAAGCTAAAAATTCAAGTAAGATGAGCGAAAGAAGCTTATATTGACTTGCATTANGGAAAAATCTATTTCGAACTATATCCCAGCTTAGCCAGTTGAAGCCATGTCAGAACAAGCTTTATATACTCTGAACCGACTCACCGTCAGCATGAATAATAGATTGCAGTAGAGTAAATCAAGGCGCATGTAAAACTTTGTTTAGATCTGGTTGGGTTTCATCATCAGTGCAAATCCATCGATTGTTTCCAACCGAGTCATAACCCCGGAACCTAGTGCTGAACTGGGCGAGGTCAGTGGCCTGAAACAAGCTCGCAAAGATGGGTTGTGCTATATGGTGTAAATGGAAAATGAAAAGCGGTCTGATCAACTGCCCGGTACTCGAGTGGGTGGCATGCTTGCGTTCTGCCCATGAGGTCCCGAGTTCAATCCCCAGTTGAGTCGATGGATTCGCACTGATGATGAGACCCAACCAGGCCGGAACAGCTGTCCAGTGATTGATACGTTTTTAGTTCACGCTTTATTTACATGACGAATTTACCCTTTGAAATTGAATCAAACCCTCAATTACTCACATGAACAACGATAACAATTACGCTTATGTTAATTTAGCCGAGATATTCATCATGATGATCGGCTTTCCGTAGTGGGCTTTTTTCAAAATAAGCTATTTGAAATTCCTTTATGTACTCATACCGTTTTGATTATTCCCACCACTACTCATTAATTTATCTTTAGTTTAACCACTGTAAATCGTTGAGTGCCGTAACATTTTCCGTATGTCCCTGATTACGATCATGGTTGGTCGATCCAGTTTGACACAAATCTATTCCACGCACGTGTGACGTATATATCCGACTCGATATTCAGCACGCGTTGATAAATGGGCATTGAAATCACACCTGCTGATGTCAAATATCTTGAACAATTTCAAATATAAATGACAACAACCACAACAAACATTGGACATGGGAGCATTTGCCAGCTTCATCGGAACAGGTGCCAAGCTATCATTTAGGAATTTTTGTGCTCCAATTTGGTTCGGCAGACGCAACAATAGTTGTCACGTTAGTTGAGTGAATAGATGTACAGCCTACTTTTTTCGTGCAGAGCAAGTGACGAAATTGAGTTCAGAGTGAAACATACAATCCCATATTTTCTCTTAATAAGTGATTAGGAGTTGATTTTATGGGCAAACCCTCAGGAATTTTCAAACTCCAATTCTATGGTACTTCAGTAATAAAAAAAGCGGAACACTCGATTACGATTTACTAATTGATTTGCCCCGTTGGAGTTATCAGATTTTAGTAAATTATCTTTGTCACGACCGATTCGGGTATTCGACACTATTCCTCGATTAACAATCCCAGGAATTAAAGTTTTCAGTTGAATAGGAGACTTAATTTTCATATACTGTGTCAAAACAGTTTATAAAAGGTAAATAGGACGTTATGCTGTAAAAAAAGACAGCAAACAACAGCCAATGTCATTGCCTGATGAATAAGATTATATCATTTAGAAGTTTACACGCTCGTTGGATGACATCTCACGAGGTTTTTACAACGGTGTTGAGTTGTGACAACCGGTGCATACGCAACCCATTCACTTACAATCAATCAGTGAAGAATTCTGAGTTTGCTATCTCAAGAAATCTAACACCGATCGCCTCATTTATACATATTCCCAAGTTCCTTCGAAAAAGTCTGAATACTTTGAGTGAAAAATAATAACAAGATAATATATCTGTCGCGTGAGTTGTTTCTTATTCGAGCGCATCAGCCGGGAGGAGTGTGGCATGCGGTACTCACTTCGTATCCCTTGGTGACAGCTCGACACCAATTGAGCATTGCCTCCTTTGCACTAGCCGGTCCGGAACGATGTCCACCAGGGGCAAAGCTGCAATCAGAATTATGGATTCCAATAAAAAAGGGTATAAAATGTGAAAATAATGCATATTGGCAAAATGGATGACTTATTATCATTCGGTTTTAGATTTGGTTATAACATGAAATATTTGGATTCTCAGGGCTTTTACTCCGATAAAAAACAGTTTTCTTTTTCAAACTGAGCTATTCAATAGTTCTGTATTGAGATAACTTTATTTTGACATATCCATAATGAATGGTTTGTTGATAAATCAACCAGCCCAACTCCGCCTCTGAAGGATACGTTATGAATGTGTGCCATTCACACGCAGTTACTGTAAGGGTGTACTTCCTGTAGAAGAGACTTACGGTATACATGCGGACAGACGAATTTCAATTAAACTTCGGAACAGAACCAGTTCAATTGTCGATAGCCATGATGAACATTCTTTGTTATTTTAATGACATGTGATCTTTCTCGTGGTCCCTTGAAAATCCAGCAGAAATCAATACAAATTGAGATTCTACGGAAACATCATTTGAATATTTCTTCGATAAGTCAAGTTTATAGAGTGTTTCATCATAAAAACACTTGAATTTGGGACCCGGGTGTAAGAAATACACTTCCCTTGACAAATCCATGCATATCTCTTATGAGAAAAGTCAGTACTGTTTTTCGATATTTCCACCCTCAGATTGGTGGGGAACCTCAAACAGCTATATTAAAACTCTGTTTCCCGATCGAAATGGTTCGTCAAAACGACTGAATATTTTCAACTTTGCTCAGAACAAAATTAGATTTTTAGCGGGTATTTCGACCTAGGGTGTCACAAATAACAACACGAGGCTCATCGGTAACTAGTGCAATAGTGCACCAATGACCAAGAATAGAGCATCAGCTTTCGTTCTGAGAGATGAACCCCCTCATGCAGCCTGTTCATGGCACACTTGGTGGTTTCTCACCCAGTATTTTATGACTCAGACTGCTTAAATTTGAGTGTAATAATCAACCCTTAGTCCATTACAAATAGCACTGTTTCGAAGCAACCTGTCGTACATAGTATGGATGTTGATCATTTATAATGTGACGTCTAGTAATGTCGAGGATTTGGACCAACTCAGTTGAATAAACTCAGACTCAACAGTGATTAAATGCATCATAGATCGCTGCTGAAAAGTAGAAAATACTGGGTAAACATTTAGTTAAGTGTCAGGACAGGTTAGTTTCTTTCAGGAAATGACTGTCTATAGGATTGAAGTTGTCAAGATGGTTTGTTTTCCAACAATTCCTGCCCATTCAAAATGAACTGTGTGGACCCAACCGAAATATGAAATTCCCAAAGTGAGAGCAATTCGGTGACCTTAGTTTCAATTTAGTGTCCGTTCTAATAGGAGCAGCATCCTTGTTTGTTTCCAGCGTTAATGTGAGACAGATTTGTGAACATTTTCCAGAGTACTAGTGCAAAGATATCTACGAGACTGTTGATCATTTTGATCTGATAAATTTATCTCTCTGATGATAATTCAGTGAACAGACGACATGAACATTTAGACCATATCTATCCATTTTAGTCCCATGTACTTCCATCACCATGCGGTTAGATTCTTCACATTCTGCAAAGGCGGCTAGGTCTATTCGACCTTTATCAGGTCATTCATTGAAGTACAATGGTGGATGAAACCAATGTGAACTCTTAGGTCATGGATCGAACGCAGGCGTTTAAAATTCGGTTAATAATGCAAGCAAAGGAAATGCTCTACTTCTTTGCGTAGAAGGATTGTACACATGATTTGTACAATGAAGATCGGTAAGTTGTCACCGATAAAACTGCTCGTGGTGCATCATCATCCATTGGGAAACGTGTGACCTCCTAAGTCAGAAAACATTCGACAGCAATACACTTGTTCATTGTTAGCCTACAATGGGAGTATTCACGTTCTGGTAAATTATTTCACTCAGTGAGAAATTTCCGCGGACGGTAGTTCTATCTATAAACACATCAGATTAGATTTGAATCCAGTTGGTTCAATAAAACCTTTGATTTTGTTAAACAGCTTTCGGTTAATAAACTTCAGGTTTCTGCAAACTTCGATAGCATAAGACTAGCTATCGGCTATTGGAGAAATTGATGTATTTCACTTCGCTAAAATGTTCGGTGACATTACCAATCAGTTAGAAACGCACATCCCTGCGTAATCTACCACAGTTAAAGGTTTTAGGAACTGTATAGTTATAACATGAAAAGATAAGGATCGGAAGGATATCAGAACGAGCATTTGCTATGAATAAATATTTGACGGGACTATCAACTAATTGTCAAGTTAATCAATTTTGAAAGATCATTCAGTCTCTCCCACTTGCACACAGTAGAAAAGTTCATTACTTAAAAGCCTGATTTCAAAAAAGATGAAAACTTACTACAATGCTGAACTCTTTTGTCGGTTTCAATCAATGATAGTTGAAAGAGATCCACATATTTTGTCTTAACTAGAAAGCTTGGTCTGGCGACAAATAAAGAGCTGTGTTCTCAACGAAACGTCTAAATCCCCGCGGACCTCATGAACCAACTTTGGCGGAAATGCTATGACCAAATTGAAAGTTACACTGCCACTGACAGAAATTAGTAATGCCAAAAGAAAATAGCACACAAGTACTTGAAAATCAGTTAAACCGCTTGATGAAACACACAAGGAACATGTGCCTGCAGTAGACAGTACAAATAGATCGATTATGAAACTTACTTTGGTTTAGCGCCTTGAGGGTTATTTGCCTTGTCCATGGCCTTGAACTTGTCCATTGCGGTCCAAAAGGTAGGAGTTAGTCTGAAAGAAATAAAAATATATATAATATGGGTTATCAATCGCGATCAATAAGTAACTGGGACTCTTCAATGATCATGAATATGGTTAGTATTAGTAGTATTAGCAGTTAGTTGGTTAGTGGTTGGAAATATTATTTACCAGTGCTTATTTTTATGTTCTTACGCAATAGTTTACGAGAGGAAGTATTGAGTTTGTAGTGTGTATCGTAGTTCGATTATGTTTTGACTGGGTGTAGCTATCCAGTGGGACTTTTCACTGGTTCAAGTATATAGGAATTCTGAGCTGTCTTTGAAAGATCCAGAGGAGAAAGATCACAATAGAGAGTCAGGGATGTAACATGACTAATAATACAATTCATATAGCATAAGAACATATCTAGTTGATGGAATAATGTCCCTCAGGCTTTGGCTTTTTACATTGTTCCTAGCTCAAGGCTGCGGACTTTGAATTTCACAAAGAAAGTTTGCGGTTCACCGACCACAAAAGACAAAAAGGTACCCATTGCTCATCAGTCAGAAATTGAAGAAAACATCTGCTTACGGCTAATAATCGACCGTAACACAGGTTCCTAGAAAAAGGACAGACCGATATCCTAAAAAGTTCAGAATTTTTCCATAACCACAGTCGAAGTCGATTGTAAAACATTAAACAACTGCAGTACTGATTAGGTCAGTATTAATACTTTGCAATATCATACGTTTAGGTATCTTCCGCCGTGCCCGAAGTCTTCCAAGGATCGATTGATGAAGCCTCATGTCTTTACTCATGAAAAGTCGTCACCCAAAGCTTCTGAAGCGCGATGCCTGTTTGCTTGTATCCCCTGACAAGAAGTTCACAAAGGCCCGCGGACTAAAACATCGTTAGGCAAGGTGATACCTTACTAAATTAACGGTGACAATAAGCTCATTGTGAAGAGATGCCAATTGCCGATTTCAAACCCCTCAAACAAAACGTATGCAAAATAGCTTGAGAGCATGTGATGACGGAGATCATTAGCTGACCTAGTCAGCCGGACTCACAGAGCTCTTCTGATGTGGGAGTTGCATCTGAAGGACGCAATCATCATGTTTAATATGATCTAAAAAACTGTGACTAACATATATCCTTAATTATTTTTTAGAGCAGATTTCGATTAAATGAAGGTGTCGTTAGCTAGTATTCAGGAAAATAATTCCTTTGAGAACAAACACACAAACAATTTCATACTGTTATTATTTTATAATCATGTCAATACAACACAATGGATGGCTAATTACAGATAGACGTTTACGACGGAAACGGGCGAGCAATTTGAATGTTCAAACATTTGGATCCCACTTGCTCTCTGATTTGAATACGGGGTTCCTCAACAGTCAATGAACATTTGTTCGTATGTTTTACGATGGGTCACTTGTAGGCATTTCGTTCATAGGTGTTTATTCATCTGAATAATTGTTTGCACAGCTTCTATCTGTGTGTCCGGAAACATTTTGTTTGGACAGAAAAACTTGTTTTGTCGTCATTCGCTGGGCGCCTGGAGAAAAGCAGCATACTTATTCTCAGCTAGAATACTGCGTAAACAATAATAAGTATGACCCAGTTCTAGTATCAAACACCTTCAGGAACTGAAGTTCACCATACAAAGATCAAATGAAAAAAGCTAAAAAATTGTAAGTTGAGATTCACATATTTCAATGTTACTCAGTTGGGGTCTGACAAGTGCTGATGATCGGCGGAATATTCGTTTAAATTTTATCTACAAAAGTGCTTTCATCTCTGCTGTGCACTCAGTTATATGTGCGAATTATCTTAGTCTTTAAATGGGATATTTTAATTTTGAAAATAAACTGATTCAGATTCATCTTGTTTTTTTTCGGTAAATGCGGTCAGAAAAACAGGTAGTCAACCGTATCTAGCTCAAACAGAACTAAGAATCAAATGAAGCCAATCGGTGGACACGGGCACAAGCCATGTTGATTTATTCAGTTTAGAATACAGTTCATTCAGTTCTCAGCATTTTGGGGGAGTATCCTGTTTTATGGTTATCGAAGAACAAAGCTACAGAAGTAAGACCGCACAACGAGGTGTTAGTGCTATGTGGTTACTCACTAGCAGTTACTACTAGATACAATCAGAAGCATGTGAGAAAAGAACAGCCAGTCACACATCCTAAATGTAAGGCTTTCCTGTGGTTATCATTTACAGGTGATAGCATTGACGACCTCTGCGCACGCCGCCTCAAATAGAGCGTTAGAATTCTGCTGAATTTCTCGTGTCACCACCTTGCCAAAGATATCAGTTCCGCGAGTGGAACGGCTATTACCAGATCACGCCAAATCACACCTACTGCAGCTGTTTTCGTGTGGGTGTTCACCTGTCTACCTAGGGTGAATGGGCTGATAAATTAAAGAGTGAGTGAACAAGTCCCACAGTGAGTGGATGCACACGTCTCGAATTCCCTTAGCTTCCAATTCACGTCTGCTACAGTTTACTGAAGCGATAGCATTACAATGATGAATGCCTAATATTTGTAATCAGGAAGAACTGTTTATCTCCTTAACTTATTATTGATATAAACATGGACAGGGAATAGATAACCGGTATTTGGATCATGATTTTTACAGTATTATCCTATATAATCTGTATCATTCCCCGGAAACCTTTTCGGATATAAACTGTGCAAATTTACTGGGCTGTCTTCTTTTCGTTTGAAGAAACTGTTTGACAGTGATGGAGCATTTCAAGCCCATTAGATTTCCTTCAAGTTGGGATTCACTGTGTTCTTAAGCTGAAAATATTTTAGGGAAATACTTTGAAAACCAGCTCCTACTATAAGTACCGTTTGTTTGATTCGTGCACCAAGTTAGTCAATGCATTCTCCCAGAGCGAGGATTCAGGTTTTCGCATTTCGATCCATCGAGAGGGAAAGAGAAGCTACCTCAGAACCGATTCAAGCAGTGCTACTTACGTTTTTTTCCTAGTAAGTATTCTTTAAATTCAATGTCAGCTGATGCGTTGAGAATGTGCTGAATGCATCATTTCAACTAATTCACGAAACGTCATATTTGTCAAAGCAATGCCAATCATTTGTTGTCAAGCTGTCATTAGACTGGTGATGGTGCCATGCATGAAACTATTTTGGAAACTGAATAATCATGAATTTGACGAGAACGTCTAGAGCGAGTATCATTCCACGGTCTCTTTATACTCCCGCTGTTCTGTGAGATCTATTTTGACAAAAGGAAATTTGATAGGGAGTGTGTGTGACTAAAAAGCGTTCCATGTTATGTGGTGACCAAACATAAGCTAATTTTAGAGCTTTCTGAATCGGTCATAAAATAGTACCTCGCCCACAGGAGGTGCGATCACTAAACGAAGTTTTCCTGTAAGATGTCAATATGAGCTATCATTTTTGGATAAAAGCAAATTTCGTTTCATTTATTTCCTGAAAATTTTCAACATAAGCAATAGCCGTCTCTCGTTGTATACTTGTGACCTAGCACAAACGTAGATGTAAGTTTTATTCCCCACATCGATGATGTGATCCATTGACCTTGAGCTACACAACAGACTTTTTTCTTCTCAATTCTAGACCCAGTAATCCTAATAGATTGCATTATCTTTCAATTTTGGTTTTCCAAATAATGCCTCGAAAAGAAATGGTTTCACCTTTTCTCTCGGTCCAAGGCCGCAAATAGACATTCGCAATAACGCAAGTTAGGTTTAGCTTGTAATAATAATTACTTATGTTGCATAGCCTAGATGTTACATGATCTTTGTACTCGAAAAGTATCTACCAGTGTGATGTTTACCTTTTTGTTTTACGCTGGAAATTTTTTAAAGTCGCTTACATTCAAGTCTAAACTGCTAGTAAGGGAGGGTGTAATTGAATGATTTAAACATTAGACTAAACCCATCCAGAGACTGCATAAATGTGAAAATGCAATATAAAATGAAGTATTTGTTTCGGGTTGTCACGCTGCCTCTTAATTTGAAGAAAGTGCAAATCGTTCTTATTGAGCGCTTACCCCCAACCTATGGCTCACTTTGGATATTCAATCGAGAAGAGACGAAGTAGGCTGGAGAAGTTCAACAGAGATGTCTACCTGGGTGTTTACTTCAGCATTACCTATGTGATTGACGCTCAAGAAAGCGGACCGTAATAACATCTAAAAGTCAAATATGCCGATATTCATAGTGCGTTGCTTTCATTTCGCGAATACAAGTAACGATTTTTGTATGGGATACTAGAGGATTCCAACGATAATAATACGCTTTCTGGCTGTTCCTGAATCGGGTCTGTTTAATTTAGCTTCCAGATTCAAAAGTGAGTACACTATGAAATTTGAATTCTTGAATTTCTTAATGCTTTCTATTAACAAATGAATGCTTGGAATCATTTGGTGTTATTCAGGGCTCATGAAGCTTTAAAAGTCTCCATAAAGACCGCAAAGTCAAGTCAATAAAAGCTTTATGCACTCAAAAGGTGAATTTTCAGCAGTTTACGAGTTTTACAGTGGATAGGTAAAATAATTGTAAACAAAAAAATACCGTATGAGAAATTCTGCACTTTAATAAATGAGAGAAAAAATTAGGGCAAGAGTTTTTCCCTGAGGTGGGTGAGGATCCATCTTCAATGGCAAAATTTTGTGGCTAAATATCCCGCGGTTGGTCTATCCATATAACAAAGCATTTACATTTCGTTGACCAGATCAGTCTTTGGAAATTGGCTTTAGACGTTGAAACACGGGGAGGTTGATAACAGAAGTGTGTTCATGGCTTTGCGGGCGAACTACGATGCTTGGTGATGATAACAGCTTTTACTTTGGACACAGCTGATGATTCGGGATAAAAAGGCACAATTCCTGATCATTTTTATGCAGATTTGGTCCGAACTCAGTTACTGAAAACAGATGGAACCTCTCCCTGGCCTGTTATTTATTACACCCAGGTCAATTTTGTACAATTCCAGGTTTCCATAGTCCAGTGCGCGGTC